GCTACTCGCGACTTTAAACGAAGTCCAGCCCGAAGATACGACGACGTTTTGGCGATTTACTCCCAGAAAGAAGATAATTGTCAAACTTGAAGATAAATGTCAAGTTTGAGGATAAATAGAAGATTTCCGCGGGAAAAAAAGGAAAGATCGACATAAATGGAAGATTCCCATTAAACTCGAATCTGGGCGAAATGGAAAGACTAAACCACCTAGGAAGGGAGTATATAAGCAAGAGGCATAGGGCAGAAGCAGGGGGACGAAATCCAGAGCTCTCATCTGAGACTTTCACAACTTTTCTAGACTTAGAATTTTCCGCACTTAGAAACTTAGGCTTTTTCTCGACAAGTTCGGTTTCTATGACTGGCGCTCAATTACTAGACGAACTCGCCCAGGCAGTTCGATCTCTGGTCCAGCTCTACCAACTGAACNAGCAGGGGGACGAAATCCAGAGCTCTCATCTGAGACTTTCACAACTTTTCTAGACTTAGAATTTTCCGCACTTAGAAACTTAGGCTTTTTCTCGACAAGTTCGGTTTCTATGACTGGCGCTCAATTACTAGACGAACTCGCCCAGGCAGTTCGATCTCTGGTCCAGCTCTACCAACTGAACTACGTTCGACTTGATCCCTGAAAGGGGTACGTAGGCAGCCTTTCATAAGGTTCAGTCCGAAATCAATCAAACCTTTTTTCCTATCTTTTTCCGTCTTTCGTTATCGAGCTGCGGCCAAAGCCTTTGTAATTCCTTGTAATGATCGCAACGCTCTTACGCGAATCGGAAATAAGATCGACTTTCTTTATAAATTCGTTTTATCACGTTTTTCGTATTTTTCCGCATTTATTTGGTTACTTGTCGTTGGCTTTCACAGAGATCCGGTTCCTCTGGAAATTTAGGGTTTTCCTAAGTTTCCTTATTTAACGGAAATCGGAAAGTGTGAATTTCGGTTCCCACAATAGAGGAAGGGTGAAAATCCCTTAGGGTGTTCTTGGGTCGTGCTGAAGCAGATGCTAAAGCATACGACGATGGAGAGACAAGTTTGGGTAGATTAGGAATCTTTCAGTAGCAGCTGTTAGGGTGTTAACAGGCTGTGTAAAGCTGATAAGCAAGTCTTGTAATAGATTGTTTAAAGATGATTTCTAATAAAGCAAAGGTGTTGCTTGTATCTATTTTGTCTCTTGATTTATCTTTTGGAATAATATATTGTGCTGAAGCAGAGGCTAAAGTACTTGACGGCAGAGAGACATAAGTGAGTAGCTTAAGAATCTTTCAGTGACGTGTGTTAGGGTGTTAACACTAGACGTGTAAAGCTGATTAAGCAGATCTTGTAATAGAGTGTACAAGGCGATTTCTAATAAAGCTATTGGTGTTTTGTCTCTTGGTTTACCTTCTGTACTACCTTATTGTGGTGTCATCTTTGCACTTACAAGTGGTATCAGAGCGGGACACCTAAGTTACCGGTGTAATCCTGAAGGTGAAGATGGACACGATTGTTACGATGCAGAAGGCAATAATGTTGAATGCGGACCAGTATGGTTATTGGAAGGCTCGCATGAAGCAGATGATTCGAGGAATCAATGAAGATGCGTGGACAGCTGTGGAGATTGGTTGGGAGGAGCCCACCATAGTCACAGGAGATGAGAAGAAGCCCAAGCCAAAAGAAGATTGGTCAGAGGCATAGCGCAATGCATCAAAATTTAATGCAAAGGCGTTATCGGTAATTTTTGGAGCTGTTGAAGCAGAACAGTTTCAGCTGATTCAGGGGAGTACTTCAGCTAAAGAGGCGTGGGAGATCCTACTGAATTCGTTTGAGGGAGATGAGAGTGTCAAGAGGACACGTCTAGATCATCTTGGATCGCAGTTTGAGAATCTCAGATGGTCTGATGCTGATTCTGTGGCGAGCTTTAGTGCCAGACTCAGTTCTATGGCGCATGAAGCATTTGTACTTGGGAAGAAGTACAAGGAGAAGAAGCTAGTAAGTAAGTTACTACGCTGTCTTCCAAAGAAGTTTGAAGCTCACAAGGCAGTCCTGCAGATGACTACAAACACGGATGAGCTCAAGTTTGATAAGCTTGTGTGTATGCTGAAGGCACAAAAGATGGAGATAGATAGTTGTTCAGTACGTCAGGCAGTGCGCCAGGGAGTATAGCACTTGCAGCTGACAAAGATGGTGATAGATTCCAGAAGCTTGAAGATACTGTGGGTATGTTGGCTAGGAATTTTGGTAGGACGAGTCACTCTGGTGGAAGAAATCAGTATGATAATCAAGGAGGTGAACGTGGCAAGGGTAGAAGAAGAGACTTTATCAAGTGCTACGAGTGTGAAAGAGTTGGTCATGTGAGGGCTGACTGTCCTATGGCACAAGGAGAGGAACTTAAGTGTTCCGAGTGCAGAGGTGTTGGACACACAAGGCGCGAATGTCCAAACTCAAAGAAGGGAAAATGAGCTCAGTCGTCTGATGATTCATAGTCTGAAGAAGATGACAAGGTGTTGAAGAACATGGTTGCATTTGGTGCACGCAAGAAGGGATCTAGTGAATCCACTGATTCAGATCGCAGTACAGATGATGAGGACTATCATGTGCTGCTCAACAAGTGGTTGAGGGTCAAGGATCAGAACTTGAGACTGGAGAATGTGGCTCAGAAGCAAAACGAGTTGCTTGAAAAACTTCGTGAAGAACTTGCGGCTGTAGAAGAGAAGAATGAGTCTCTTGAAGAGGAAGTTAACAAACTGAGAAGAGTTGCTACTGGTGAACAAGAGTGAGCAAGGAAGCTGGAACGTGATTTGGCTGAGAATCACAAACAGATCAGAATGCTCAATAGTGGATCCAAGGAGTTGGATAAGATACTCTCAATGGGACAACCAGCCAAAGCAAAATTGGGACTAAGATACCGAGGAGGTGAGAGTACTGGCATACAGCAGAAGGGGCGGTCACAGTTCGTGCAAGGGAGCACTTCAAAAAGTGAAGCCAAAGATGTTCGTCAATAAGTACGTCGGGACGTACGACAAGGAGTACGGCATGAAGTTCTACAGCGCATGGCTCTGTGTAACAAGCCGAAAGTGGTACATCAGTGCAGCAACATGAAGGTCAGACATGAGGTTCTGAAGCATGGTTATGCATCTGGTACAAGGAAGGAGATTGATCGGTGCGTCAGTAACTGTGTCAGGCCCAAGAAGAAGCAACATCGGATGTGCTGATGGTTCTGTGGGAAGGTTTGACACAAGAAGGTGGAGTGTTTTGCTCGTGAGAAGAACAAAAACATGGCCAAGAAGGTGAACAAGACGTTCATTAAACCCAAGAGGGTTGAAGATGTGTTCTTAGCCAAGAGTGGCTTACTTGATGAGGTCAAGAAAGGGACATCAGAAGAAGGATGCAGCTCTGGCAGGAGTGATCTTGAGGAAGATCAAGAAGCATCAAGTCTGGAGTCAGGACACGGAATTTTCTATGACACAAAGGGGAAGAAGATCGAAGTACGTCAGGAAGTGATGCGAGATGATCTTCAGGAGGGTGATAGTGAAATCACTCCAAGACAATAGCAACGAGTGCAGAGAGCACTCGGTGTGGATGAGGAGGGGCTCATGGTCAAGGAGATGACGCATGAAGGAAGCCAAGTCCTCAACAGAAGTGGGTCGAAAGGTAATTCGACAGGTGCGTCAGATCATGATGCAGTACTTGTAATCTATTCCGCTGCAGCAGGGGCTGTATCATGATTACTATGATGGAAGGTTTGACATCTAAGCATCTGTGTTTTAGCTTAGTATGCAATCAAACAGGGGGAGAAGTGGTGACATTCTGGTCCAAGGAGTGCATATCTCATGGGGGAGAAGAGCATGGTGATGGACGTCATGAAGTAGATGGTGCTTATCTCATGGGGGAGAAAAGCATGGTGTGGTGCACATCTCGTGGGGGAGAAAAGCACATTTGGTATGGAAGGTTCCAAGTGAGGAAGGTGGTTGTTGAACCAGAAGGATGTTGTGCTTGATCGGCACACAAAGCTAAAAGGGGGAGATTGTTGATGTAAGATGTCCGCCTTGAAGTAGTTGTTGACGTAGTTGCTGAGGCAGACGTCGTGTTGAGTGGTGAAAACCATGTGGAGTCAAGATGCTGAGCTGGAGTCGTGTAGACTTGGAGAGCAAGGGTGTATCTTGGAGAAAAGGCAAGAGGAATGAACTTGAGGAGCAAGTTTATGACTTAAAGAAAGAGGAATAAATGCATTTCAAGGAAAGGAAAGTTGCACTTAATGTTATCGAAGATGTTCATATTGTGTTCCTTGGAGACTAGGGTTTCGGGAACGTGAAGAATAACTATAAGAGAGTTATGGGGTCGTCTGCAGAGAGACAGAGACACGGAGGCTGATCTTATATAGAGAGAGAAGCTCTTAAGGTGTTCTGGGGTCGTGCTGAAGCAGAGGCTGAAGTACTTGACGGCAGAGAGACATAAGTGAGTAGCTTAGGAATCTTTCAGTGACGTGTGCTAGGGTGTTAACACTAGACGTGTAAAGCTGATTAAGAAGATCTTGTAATAGAGTGTACAAGGCGATTTCTAATAAAGCTATTGGTGTTTTGTCTCTTGGTTTACCTTCTGTACTACCTTATTGTGGTGTCATCTTTGCACTTAGATTGACAATTCTCTTAGGCAATGTACAATAGAATTCGAATTTGTTTGTAGAAAAATCAAAAGTTTGAATAAAATGCACATAAGATTTGGATTTATAAACAATCCAATACAAAGTGCCATTCAAGGATACACTCTGAAATTTGAACCTATATATGTCCTCTGCAAACTCAAACGATTTCCTTGCATCAGATTCAAACTCGATGATGTTAGCTTCCAGAGTTGTACCATTATGGATATAATGATCAAAGATCTTGTAATGATTGTCGAGTCTACTGTTTTTATATCCTATCACTCTGCAAGTATAACTGCATATGGAGCTAGATTTGACCCATCTAATATGTCTCAACCATGGATTGCAAAGCCCAATCCATCTACCTGTAGCAAACATCAATAACCCATTGCAATGGTCGAGAGTGTCGTGCCTATTAAATTTCCATAACCAGGAATATATTCGGGTAGCTTATGCACTTCTACAGATGGACAATTCAGTTCAACATCTACCGAACATATCATGGATTCTGCAAGCAAGATGAACTGTGGACGGGGAGGACCTAAATCACTGCTGAAGTACCTTCTTTCCTTAAACACAGAGTGTTCCATCATTTACAGACGATTCTGAGTCTAAAGTGTGTCATTGTTGGAACAAGAGATAATATCTTTTCCTCCAACTCCCATCGGAGTTGCATTATGCTTTTCTTAAGGAAGAAGTTTATGATAAAACAAAGGTTACAAATCACATAAGATTTTCTGGAGATGTGTTTGTATACATAGGAAAAGTATATAGTTTACTTTGGTATCACTATTACATAAAGAAACTAAAAAATAATAAGTATAATAGGTAATTTTTTATAAAAAAAAAATCTCGATATTTACCAAAAAAAAGAAATCTTTAAAATAATATAAATATGTATTTAATTTAATTAATTTATGAATTTTAATTTTGTTTAACTATCTTTATAATAATTAGAAACATTGATTGAAAATAAATAAAGAAAAATGAGATAAATATGTATCCTTGATTGTTTGGATATGTTTTGTTTTTAATTTTTGAATTTTAGATGTTGGTTTTAGATTCCTTTTTCTGTATATTTTTATTTTTATTTATTTCATTTTTGAATTTATCAATTTTTAAATTGATTTATAAGGTTTCCTTTTTGAAAAAGCTTGACATTACTAAAAGAAAATATCACAAATTTGAATAAAACAATATATTATCAAGAAAATATGTACCTTTTAAACAATTAAGTTGATTTTATTGATAATGTGAAGAAAAAATGTTGTTAACATAAATTATCTTCACAATTTATATTTGATTTTAGGTGTTACATAAAATATTGTATTAATCTATAGTTTATGGTAGTTATTATTTCCTATCTTTTTTTTTACTATGGGCCGAGGCGCAAGCTCAAGCTATGAGTGAAATTACTCACGTGAGAGAGTCGGAAGAATTTATTTTACCTTCCATCCCCGGTCGCTGGTGCTTTACAGATGGGTCATGGAAAGCGAATGAGCTTTTCTCGGGTCAGGGCTGGTATAATATGCTTCTAGGATTTGAGGGACTTTTGGGAGCAAGGAACGCGATAGCAAGCCTCTCGTCCTTACATTCGGAAATCAAAGCTCTCACATGGGCAGTGGAGGGCATGAGGAATCTACGTCAATATCAAGTAACATTTGCGACGGATTGTGTTCAATTGGTGTATGCACCAAAAGACTGGCTAGCATTTCCGAATTACTTAGAAGACATTAAAACTCTACAAGGAAGTTTTAACCACTCAGAGATCATTCATATCCCCCGAATGATGAATTCAAAGGCAGATAGCTTGGCATGTAGTGCCAGGAAGCAAACGACTTTCATTTCTCACATAGATACGGAGTTACCAATTTGGTTTACAGAGTATTCATAGAGTCTGTTTATGTTGATGACAAAAAAATAAATTTAAATAAATAATAAAATATTTAAAAAAACTTATGTAGTTTCGAATTATTCATTTTCACTTCAAAGTTTTTATATATATTTTTTTTCTTTTTTTAATTTTATTTTGAAATTTGAAATTCTTTTTGAAACTGTGGGAACCGAAATCCACACTGTCGATTTTCCGTCAAATATGGAAACTTAGGGCGAAACCCTAATTTTCCCGAGGTCCTTGATCTCTGCGGAAATCACTAAAACAAACGGATTTAAAGGAATATGGATGAACAACAAAGAATAAAGAGACAAGAAATTGTAAGAAAGCTTTTATTGAATAAGAATCGACAACTGTTACAAGTAGAATTGAAGAACTTAGACGTTAAAACGTTCTAAGGATATGAATTGCTAGTCTAAACGCTAAGTCCTAAATTCTAAGCTAGCAGCCGTCTCTTCTAGGTCTGATTTTCGTCCCCCTCTTCTGCCCTACGCCTCTGGTTTATATACTCCTTTCCTTGACGGTTCGATCTTTCCATTTTGCCGGATTTGAGCATTTCGGGAATCTTCCATTTTTCTCGATCCTTCCTTTTCTTCCGCGGAAATCTTCTATTTATCTTCAAACTTGCCTTTATTCTCCTTCTGCGAGTAAACCGTCAAAACGTTATCAAATCTGCGGGTTAGATTCCATTGAAATCGCGAGATGGGTTTTTATNATTTTGCCGGATTTGAGCATTTCGGGAATCTTCCATTTTTCTCGATCCTTCCTTTTCTTCCGCGGAAATCTTCTATTTATCTTCAAACTTGCCTTTATTCTCCTTCTGCGAGTAAACCGTCAAAACGTTATCAAATCTGCGGGTTAGATTCCATTGAAATCGCGAGATGGGTTTTTATCACGTTTTAGGTCCTTCCGGGGCGTTTTGCGATAAAAACCTTTTTCCGACTTTATACAGGATCGTTTCCTGATCTGATGTCGTTTTTAATAAATTACTCGAGTTAATCGTGAATTTTTACGGTTTACTCGACTTTTTACTAAAAAGCGCTTTTTACGAATTACTCGGCGTTTTTTATTAAAAACGCGTTTTTACAATTTTAACGAGAAATCTCGAATAAATCGTATCGTTTAGGCAATGTTCGGTGTTTCGTTTAACCGTTGCCATTTTATACGATTTCCTCGAGTTCTTTCCGAGAGAAAGAAGTTTTACGGTTTTTATCGTAAAACTCGAACGGTAAGTCGGATCGAGACGGAACGAGAGAAGTTTTAGCCGTAGTTTAAAATGCGATCATGTCGAAAGACGTAAGTTTTGAATCGGGAATGTAGGAAATCGAGGCGCGGGATGTCCGAGAAGTTTTTAGTTCGCCGATGGGCGAACTAGTGGGATGATTTTTAGTTCGCCGATGGGCGAACTAGAGGAGTGTCCTTAGTTCGCCCATCGGCGAACTAAGCCTGGCCCGGCTTAGTTCGCCTATGGGTGAACTAGTCGTGACTAGTTCGCGTTTACGGCTTTTTCGGTTTTTTGCGATTTCGTAAAACGATTCTCGAGTTTTATAAAACGATTCTCGAGTTTTATAAAACGATTCTTGAGTTTTATAAAACGATGCTCGAGTTTTATAAAACGATTCTCGAGTTTTATAAAACGATTCTCGAGTTTTATAAAACGATTCTCGAGTTTTATAAAACGATTCTCGAGTTTTATAAAACGATTCTCGAGTTTTATAAAACGATTCTCGAGTTTTATAAAACGATTCTCGAGTTTTATAAAACGATTCTCGTG